AGGAAAGTGTGTGTAGCAGTCGTGGGTGTCGGAGGTGTGTTTTCATGGTTCCCTTCTGTGCTGTTAATATTTGTCCCCCAGTGGGGTCCTGGCACAGTGAAAGAAGGAGTAACTTGATTAAAGTAGAGGGGACCCATACAGTGGGGCAGGAGGGCTTAGTAGATTTGGGCAAGAGAGGAGGTCATTGTTTGATTAAAGATGGATCATAATGCATGCTTACAAGAGTCTGAGTTAAGATTGCATAGGCAGCCCTAACTGTCATTTATTGTTGAGTGTTTGACTTCTCTCCTTAAATGTTGTCTTTGTGCAATATTAATATGTGCGGTGGCATCAGAGACTGGTATATATCCAACTTGGTATTCCAACCTATCCAGGTAAAAAAGGAAAGAAGTCAACAGAGAATAGATGAACAGATGATAAGAGAAGTAAAGTGTGCCTGTAAGGTTGCACTAGCTGAAATGTGTTATGGTTCACATAAATAAGTTATTGAAAATAAATGTGTTAAGTGTATAAATATAGATTTAGCAGCCTAACTGTGGTGACCCATGTCTGAATATGTTGGCCAAAATATAGCACATCTATCCATTCACTTGAGCTGTTGAGCCAGTCTTGCACTTGTTAAGCTGATGGTATCCCTCATAGAGCCTTATAAATAATTATTTTTAATACTGATAACTATTCAAAATTATTTTTTTACTCAAGTGTAGATGATTCACAATAATTAAAAGCAAAACATTGATTATAAAAAAATAACTTTCTCACAACATTTATTGGAGCCACTCTTCTCAGCAATGAAGTTTGAAGTCTCTAATAACAATGACTTTTGCCTCCACTCTGCCTATTCCCTCAGTCTGCAGCTTTGTCAAGCCTTGGGATAACTTGCACATTATCAGCAAGGATCATGTACAGAGTCAAATATAATGAAACTAAGTTACGGAAACTTTGTTGCTATGTTAGGAAGGATTTTTGCTTGCAACTGTTTCTACCTATTATTTATTTGCTTTGTTTTTGTTTTTTGTTTGAATTTTAATTTATTTTTTTTTTGGAACAAAGTGCTCCAGCATATAAATGCTTTATTTTGATGTATCATCTTGAACTTGATTCAACTTGATACACATCTTGACTTTTTTTTCTTTTGTTTGGATTTTACTGATTTTCCTACATAGTATATCTGATGTTAAAGGATTCTCTTTTAAAGGCTGCTGAATGACTTGGCAAAAGTCATGTAAGGCTTGAATTTCAAAGGTGTTAAATGCCTCAGCAGTAACTCCAGTCAGAGCTGAATATGTGTAACAATCAGGCCTGTGATCTTTCTGTTCTTTAATGTCAGTATCAGTAAAATATAGAGTACTGTCTACTCAAAGGTAGTCAGCTGGGTGGATAACTGCAAAACTACTGTTTTCTGTTTAGCGCTTGCGGAGGAGTTTGCCTCCAGGTCTACTGAGACGTGTGTCGTCAACTTGGACCACAACAACATCGGCAACAGGATTACCTACCTTGGAGCCAGCACCAGTGAGAAGGGACCGTAGTGCCAGCATCAAACCTTATGAATCTTCTTCATCCAGGTAAGAAAATTATCTTCCTTTCTATATATACCTTTAAGGAAATGTCCTTCTTTCTCTGTGAACACAGAGGTACCTAAATATGTTACCTACCCTGTTTTGGGAAATTATAAATCAAAAGCATTAAAACATTTCTATCATTTCTTTCATTGGGGGTTTTGTTACAGGAGACAATCAGTGCCTTTACATTATATCAGTTGGTCACAAAAGTAAACTTAGGAAGCATTTAGAAGGCAAAAGTTTCAAGGAGTTAGAAATGGGGGGATTTTAAAAGATGATATTAAGCCCAGAACATGGAGACTTGAGGTCTCTGCAACATTCATTTCTTGTTTCCTCATATGATCATTACTTGTACATCTTATTTTAAAATGTGTATAGTTATATCAGGGGTGGGCAATTATTTGGGCCTGCAGGCCACATAGGCAGTTTTGGGGAGCTATCACAGGCTGGTCAGCACCCCTTCCCTCCTCCCCCGGAATAGCCCACGTGCCCTGTAACTCCTCACCACCATCAGTGCCCAGCAGCAGCTGAGCGCACAGCCCTAGTCCCAACCCACTCTGCACCCACTCCAGACTCACCCCAGCCAGAGCAGAACAACTCTGGACCAACTGAGACCCACGTGCACAGCCCCGAGCCTGGCCCGCCCTGCACCTGCTCTGGACTGGCTTGCCTATGATGTCAGCACCCCTTCCCTCCTCCCCCGGAATAGCCCACGTGCCCTGTAACTCCTCACCACCATCAGTGCCCAGCAGCAGCTGAGCGCACAGCCCTAGTCCCAACCCACTCTGCACCCACTCCAGACTCACCCCAGCCAGAGCAGAACAACTCTGGACCAACTGAGACCCACGTGCACAGCCCCGAGCCTGGCCCGCCCTGCCCCTGCTCTGGACTGGCTTGCCTATGATGAGCAGTGGCGGCAGCTGGGCAGAAGCTGCTGCTGGGTGTGGAAGACAAGCAGCCACCACCCCCTTGCCACTGCTGCTTCCTTCTAACTGCAGCTGCCTGGAATCTGAGCCCAGGCTGCTCTGTGGCTCCTTTCCACTGCCACCGCTGCCCTGTCTGTGTAACAGGTGGAGCCCAGAGGCAGCGCTGGTGGTAGTGGTGATGGCAGCAGAGAGGAGCAGCAGGGCAGCCTGCCACTCATCCTGGGCAGGCGGGTCTGGAGCAGGCACAGGGTGGACTGGGAACAGAGCTGTGAGCATGGGTCCTGGCTGGTCCAGAATTGGTCTACTCTGACTAGATGGGTCCAGAGTGGGCGCAGGATGGGCTGGGCCAGGGCCAAAGCCAGGGCTGTGCATGCAGGTTCCCACCGGTCCCCATGAGGCAAGGGTTGGAGTTCAGATGTGGAGCTGCCTCATCTCAGCTGGCCATGCTGTGGGCCAAACAGCACCTGGGCTAGGCGGGATCAAGGGACCCACCGCAGGCCATATCTGGCCCGTGGGCCATATTGTCCCCACCTCTGAGTTATATGCTACTATATAACAACAAGGAATTCTAAGGTTTGTTTTAGTGGATCCAGTGATATCATTTTCAGAGCACTACAGGTTTTCAAGGTCCTATGTTCCTACAGTAAGGTAAAGTCTGTCCTGGTGAGAAAACTAAGTCATTCCAATGTATTGCAAACAACAGAAGATCAGTTGCTTAAGTTGAAGCAGAGTATGCCATGGAGGAACTTTAATTCTGAAAGACATGGTCAAAAAATGGTTCGAACTTAGAGTGGTAGAGAAGAAGAATTGTTCCAGGCACTAAAAAGGCCCTTTGATGTCAAAAAGAAGAGTTAAGAAACATAGGATTGAGTAGTGTGTGTTGCATGAGGATTTGAAAGCAGAGGTGTAGATCAGTAGAGACACCTGAACCCAGACCAGTTTTACTTTTTTCACTGTTTCTCTCCTTGTCAGCCATACAACTTTATGGAGGGTTTGGTGACTAGTTATTACAAGTATTTTGTTTTTATACCTAGCTATAACAAAGAGCTAAGCTCCTTGTTTATGCATATGTAAAGCTTACGCACTTCCTTATGCCTTCAATAGCTGAAGACTCATGTAATCTCAAACCATTTTCCAGGCTGCGAACAGAACAGACATATATAAATAATATCACAGCTACAAAAGAAAATGAATTCGTAGGGCCATGATTGTGATAAAACCTGTGAAGGGGGAAAATGTGATGCTGTCCTGAGTCTATCCTAGAATTCATGTTTTCAAATATCTGGAGGTCTCAGAACATCTTAAAAATCAAGTTTGAGATCCACAAAATGACTTAAACAGGAACTGCATGCCCAAATTTAAGTCCAAAATTAATTTCTTGCCACCTAAAGTCTCCTGGAGCCTAGTTGTCTGACATTAAAATTTCATGGATCATTAAGGTCTGCTTCTGGGCACCCAAGGAAATCCTCATTCTTTACATTGTTTAGGTATCTGAGCTATTTTACACCTAATGCCCATCACGACTAGGAGATTATCTCATCTGCAGGACCCAATCTTAGGCTCTGCAGACAACAGTAGTAGAGTTGGTTGCCCCTTTTTTCATCCAGTAATTCTTTGGTTAAATCATTCACCCAGGATGTGAAAGGCCTGAATAGGGACTAGAACAGAGTTCTATGTACCCAGCACTTGGATAATTTCATGCTCAGTCTCTTTGTCCCAATTAATATTTAATTATTCCATTCAAAGTGAAATAGCTTCAACAACAGAGGTTGAGTACCCTGCCTCAGAGTATCTCATATCCTGAGTTCGTATGAGGAGCATCCTGTTAGGGTACTGTCCTATGAGGGTGGGGCTCATGGTTCAAATCCCCTCAGACCTAGGAGGGAATTTCTCAGAATTTTCCTATGGAGCTATTCAAAAAAAGGAGGGCGGCAATAGCATGCCAAATGCTCCTCCTGTTCCAGCTGCATTTTTGAGAAAAGGATGACTAACTCCAAGAATGGGTTCAGGACTGTGATCTCCTGTTGGAGGTAAGCCCAAACTAAGGTGCCTAAGATAGTGAGATAAGTAGCACACCCCTGACCTCTATGTTTCCTGCTAGATGGCTCAAGTGAGGCCCCACTCAGTGTTTTGACTTTTGTGCATATGGCTCTTAAGTACTTCTGTATTCTCAAGCATGAAGCCTAACTCCACCTAACTCGGCATGGGAAGTCCACTGAGTACCCAGGTGTCTGAAAAGTAGGCACTGTTCATCAGTTGTCTTTGCAGATCTATCCCTAAGTAGCCCAGGAAAATGGAATATAAACAAGATAAAGCCATGGGGAGGATATTTTTCTAGCTACTGTTTTTTCTGTGATTCACAAGACTCTTTTGATTGATATTGTTGATTCCAGTCTCTCGCACAGAATGTAAACTTGCTAAGATGGGGATCTGAAGAGAGGCAGAGGGGAGCAATTAAATATTACTTTTGGCAGTTTTCTACCATTATGTAATTCCTTATGATGAGCCAACTAAATGGACCATCAATTCTCCCTGAGTTTAAGGTCACCAAATATATAATCACTCTGTCAAGCTTCCCAGCCTACTGTTTTCAGATCTTTGCTTTACAGGAGAAGAAACTGTGTACAACAGAAGGGAAAAGTGAGGCTGATAAGTCTAGCTTAAACAATGTTTTGGCAAATGAGATATGGATTGAATGAGAGAACATTCGACATTTATTCAGCATTTTCAAGGAAAAGGTCATCTCCTGTGCACTGAGCCTGCTCAACTAAGTTTGGCAAAATATAGGTAGAAGGAGCAGGAAAAAAGTATAGTCCGTGCCCATTGTAATCAAGGCCAAAGAAAAACAATGCAGTTGAGCAGTGACAGCTCCTTCAACCATCTCTGTAACATTTGTACTCCTCAGTCCTATCATGGGAAATAGTCTATGGATTCCCATACTGGAAGTGACTTGAGCTTCATTTTGAGCCCCTATCTGAATTCCATAATCTTCTCCATGACCTTTTAAACGGCTTATTTTAAAGCGTTAAATGAATTGAGTGGGTATGAAACAAAAGTAGCAATACTGCAAGTTTTCCCCAGGATGATTCATTCGAACTCTGGACACTCCCTCATTACAAATAATCATCATAAAATCCAAGTAACCTGATTTATACTTCTAAGAATCCCTTTTTGCTCTGCTCTTGCAATATAAAAGGGCCTTAATGTGGACATATATTTTATGTTGTTTATTTTAGACTTCTTCACATCAGTAGTGCATCATATTTGTGTAATAATAGTTACTTGTGCTCTGTTTTACAGCACTGACCCTTGGAACAGCTCAATTCTGATGACCATCACAAAAAGCAGATCCTTTTCAGCCTCCTATGCAATGGCTGCTACAAACCATTTGAATTCCAAAAGGCAAACCCGACAAGGTGAACAGCTATTTCTGATTTTTGGTTTTAGTCGAGTTCTTTTTAGCTAAAGCTGCAGTATATTGGCATATACCTGTTTTTCCTCTCTCTACATTCTTTCTTCTCACTCACTTTCCAATAATTGAGACTTTAGTTATTTCCCTCAGTTAAAGACAAAATGCTTCAAAATTCTATAGCTTATATGAGTGTTAGTTTTATATGATAAGGCTTTTTGGCTATTGAAGTGGTGGAACAATTACTGCATGTTAAATTCTGCCCGGAGTTATAACAGGAGGTAAAAGGATTCAGCTCATTTCAGACTCTTTAATAACAAAAAACACAGCCATCCTTTACTTGTTTTTCTAAATTTATAGTGAAAAGTGGCATTATGTGATGTTCGCAGTCAGTATTTTGAGTCATTAATGGAAGGTCACAATGTTTTAGCCAGAAAAAAACAATGAGGAAAGATAGTTTCTTAACTGGTGATGAATGCAATAGAAGGGTTTTGGAGAATTGTAAGTGATCTATGAATGGCTTTCTCTTTGGTTATATTAGAAGATGAGGGAATGTATACCCATGCTGTTAGATGCAATAAAGAAGAATACAATGCCATTTCTTGCATAAATCAGCAGGCTTCAGATAAACTTGAGCCTGCTGGCTTGTTTTTCTGAAATAGGGAAACCCCAGGGGCCAAATAAATGTCAACCTGATCTTCAGGCCTAATCTTTGGTACCCAGAAATTGAGAGAGCTCAATTAGAGACCAATTATGAAAACACACCTGCATGGTTTTTCATCACTATTAGCCCCATTTGATAGGAAATACTGTTTTTTTCAGTTTCCAACAAATATCTGATAACTGGTGAAATCTTGGCCTCATCAAAGTCAATGGGAGTTTGCCAACGCTTTAGCTGTCAAGCTTATAATAGTTGAACATATCTGAACTCAATGTTATAATATACATACACTGTGTAGTTTTTTTTTAACTATGTTTTAGTTAACACGGAGCAATTTTTTTTTCCTTTTGGCATTTGTTTTTGTGGCCAAAGGTTAATTACAGACAGCATTGTGCTGGTCTAAATTCCCTTTCTCATTGACTTAGTGTGCTCCTTCACTTCACCTAGTCTAAACCGTTTCCTAAAGATTGCTGTATGATGCTATGGTGTTTCTGAGGTGTCTGAATTTCAGCATTGAAGAGAGTTCTGAGTGGACAGTGTATGTCCATATGCACTGCTTAAAGTAGATTAGGATTTGGTCACAGACTAAAGCACAAGTAGAAAAATATTATCATAACAAATCTGTTTCTTTGTTTATGACCAATAAAGCAACAGAGTGCTAATCATAATTTTCCAGAAGGCACATACATTTTTCCAAGGCCAACAACATTAAACCTGTGATCTAATTTTCAGAGATACCGAGCATTCACAGCTCTTATTGATTTGGTAGGCATTTACAACCTCTTTTCAAGTCTGCAAGTCAAGTCCTTAAATCCGCCTCATTAATCAGTGCTAAATGCTGTCTTTTCTGCCTTCCAAGATGCTTAAAAAGTTATCTCCATCCAGTAGGGGAATAAGCTAGAAAACATTTGAGTTCCCTTCTGTTGTTAGCAATTCTAGTAGATGTTTCTCCAAGAAAATTTCAATATCAACTCAACTTCTCATGTTGAAGCTTAGTCTCTTGGTATTCGGAGCTTTTTAAAATCATGAATCGGTAATTAACACACATTTTTAATGTAACAATCCAAAGAATAGGTATCACCTTTCCTCATTATTATTACTAATCAGATCCTTAAATCTTATATCTCTTATCCATGTTCAGTAATCCCCACTTGGAGACTATTTATTTTTAGGTATACATTAGATTTGGAAAATGTATTTTTAATTATACTGTAATGGCATTATCATTTGAAAACCCATGCCTATCAATGTTTTTTTCTTGGAAGGCCTCTGAAGAAACCACAAGTGTTTTCATATACAGTCTCATGTCATATTAGTATCACTGTTTTATTTCTTTCCCACTACACTGGAGTTTAAATAGGGCCAAAACAGATGGATTTACTTGCATGAAATTTCCCCCCTAGTATTGTTTATCTTCTTTTCTTTGGTTGTTCAAAGTTGCATGTGTTATTACACACATGCACACACGTGCATGCGTTTTCATGCTTTTGAAAATAAATAATTAAACATTGGATTCCTGAAAGGAAGTTTGTACATTTACCCACTAAATTTCTGTTTTGGTTCCTTTCCTCTACAAATTATTCATACAACTCTCTAAAATTTCCAAACAATTTCAGGTGAAAGCTGCTCATAACTAGCAGTAGAAAGCCAGCTGTAAACAGATCCTTGGGCAGATACAGGATTTTGTTCAGGTCGGTGTGGGAGCAGTAACCAGCACTGTGGGGTGGCTACAGCCCTACATCCAGCTCCCTGCCCTCTTATCTGAATTGGTTTGGGTCTTTTAAACTGTCCCCAGCTCCTGATACCTCAGTGTGATCTGCAAGGAAGAAGGGGGCAGGGTGGGGGAAGAAGGGGAGAAAGGAAGGTGCAACTGTCCCACTACACCCCTTTTGCATCCACCCCTGAACAGATTCAAATTCACAGCCACAAAAGCTCCACCTTAAATTTACCAAATCAGATCTGGATTGGTGAAAAATTGCCTCATACACTTATTTCTCTAGTAGAGGTGAAGAATATCAAGTAAAGTATACCTCCAAAATCCTTGATGACTATATAATACCCCATGCAAATAAGGGACTGATAAGCATTTTAAATATTGCACATAGCCATGGGATGGAAACAAAGCCAGCCTTAGGGAGGAAAAGGAGGTTCCTTGATGGGGCTCTGTACACTGGAAGAGAACTAGAGGGTTCATTTACTACGGGTGTGTGTAGACGAAACGGGGGCCCTAAATTGAAGCTATGGATTTTGCACCAGGCCCCCGTGCAGCTCAGGCAGGCAGGCTTTGGGGGTAGGAAAGATCAGGCTCGCTGCTTTTCCTGGGCTGCTGCCAAACTGTCTGCAGGGCTTCCTGCAGAGACATGAAGCTGCATGGAGCCCGGTACTTCCCTCCACAGCTGTAGAGGCAGCAAACTAAAACTGCTTGAAGGAGTTTTAGTTTGCTGTGCCCCAAGTCGTTTAAGGCTCATTACACTGTCCAATTTCCTACAGTGGGTGGAATTAACGCACAATATGCCACTGAGGCATGCAAATACCGATACCATTAAAGCGGTGCAAAATCATTTAGCCCGCTTTAAAGTGTTGTGTTCACACGCCCCTCATTTCATCTACACACGGCCTGTGACACTAAGTCATGGTCAGTGAAGCAGTGACAGCCTGGAAGAGAAAGCCCACGTCTCCCAAAGTGAATTCTGATGCTATACTGAGTGTCCCATTTTGCCTTCCCTTGGCCCATATTCTTCACCTGATATCTTGTTTTCAGCCTACAGTGTCATTATCAAGAGAAGAATGTGGTTCAAAAGTGCAAAATTATGGACCAAATTCTCAGCTGATAGAAGCTGATGTAAGTGTTGAAAATAATGAAGTTAAAGCAGTTTCTGCCAGCTGACCACTTGGCCCTCCATGAAGACTCTTTCTATTTAGTCTTTATTTTGATGGTCTTGTGGGAGCCTGTGCATTTCAGAAATAATTCTTACTGCATACACTGAATTTATGAATATGGTTTCTGCCCTTTTTTAACTGAAAAAACTTTTTTTTGCTAGGTATCCCACCAAATATTTCACCTCTCACCTCTCCATGCCATTCCCCTATCCAGGGGACTCCAGCTACCAGTCCCACAGGCAAAACCTCTACAGTCCAATTTCCAGACGCTACTGACACCGACACAAAGGAAGGCCTGAGGCCACACAAGGTTTTAACTTCCACGCAGAGTGCACCTAACCTTTCAGAGCAGACTCTACCACCCCCAGTTATCTGCAGCAGGTAAGATGCTAACTGGACACACATTAGAGTCTCTGCTTGGTTTTCCCCATAAGCAAATTATTCTATCTCATAAACAAGTTGGGGGTGAGCAGGAAAGAACAACAGATGAATATTTTAAAGGTTGTATATACTGTGAAAGGACATGCACAAAGCAGTGTTTAAGAAGGTAAGAAAACCTTCAACTGAAGTAGTTTCCATGATCTTAATTAGGCCCCTATCTGCATAAGCATTATGATACCACCCTTAAATATATGATCATGTCCTGTTTTCTCCAGAGGACATCGCCTACCTGATTCAGTTTTAAGGATGAACCTGCTGCAGAGATGAGTCAGAGTTCTATAGGAAGCTGCTTTCTATAGAGCCCCTGCTTAATTTGGTGGGGAAATTAGAAGGGATAGAATGAACAAGGCAAGGAAGATATGGAATGGCCTCATGGTAAAGACAGTTGAATGCAACCTGGGGAATAGGTTTTTCTGTCATACTATCTTATCATACCTCAGTGGGCATTGTTTTTTGATAGTACAAGGTACTGCATTATGTAAATAGAGATAATGCCTTCCAAGGGCAGACCCAGGCAGGGTCCACTAGTATACTTGCACCTCCTTTGATTCCTGGTCCACCCAAAGTTTAAAACCAACTGCCTGCCGCCAGCAGCAGCAGCAGCATTTCTACTCCAATCAGTGCTGAGAGTCAATTGACTTCATAGCTAATTATAATCTACCTGATCCCTTCTAAACTCTTCATTCCATAGATGTTAATTACTCTTTTCTTTTTAATGATCTTGATATTTCACTAATCAAGTTATCCTGTGTTTTGCAGTTCTGTTGTCTGTTAGCTGCTCTTGAAAATGAAGTGCCTATTTCACAGTCCTACAGATTGCTTTTAATTCATTTCAGTGAAGTTATATTTGTTTTGCTTTAATCTTAAACTGAATATTACAGCCCTCGGCCCAGTAAATATTCTAGGGGGGGGTTAATCTGGAAAAAAGATGTGTTGTTTCATATGTGATGATGCACCTCACCTTCTGCTCCCCACTTTTCAAAATTTAAGATCTGCCCATGATGCCTTGGCATTCTAGGGGTATTTGTGAAACATTGCAGAGAAGCCTTTGAGGAAATTTAATAATTTTGGTTCCAGAACAGCGTTTGAAAAGTAGATAAAGCTACACATAGAATAATGAAGGTAAAATAAAACACTTGGTAGTTGTTCATTAAATGATCACCATCTATCCTGTGAACTGAATGGAACAAGAGTCTTCTAATAAAAATGTTGTGCGTTATAGTGCTGCCATTAATTTCATGATCTTGTATACAGAGGGATGCTGAATCAAGTTTAAACTGGCACTCTTTGATTGGACTGATCAATTTTGCAAATTCTCTAACTTTTTTAAGATAGTAATTCATACGTAGCATATAAACACAATGCATTATTTTGGAGGAGACAAGAAGGGGTGTGGGAGGATCAATACATACACATGCTTGTTCTCTCACTGTTGCTGTTGGGAAATCTCTAGTGACGTACCGTCAGCCAAAGCTTCTCTTCGTAGCTTGTTTGTTTTGATGAAGTTATGGAACATCCACAAAAAAGAAATAATGAAAAAAAGAATTTGTGGTAACAGATGGTTTGGCCTTGTTTATAAATTTAAAAGATATATGTGTGTTTACTTTGGAGTTTATGTATAATAATACATATGTGCTTGCATTATGCATGTAAATGGATCCAGATTTTTTTTTTAAATCTCTTCAGAGCCAACCACCCATGCGAGGTGCATGGAGCTGCAGAACATGCTGCTAATTATTGTGGTTAACCTTATTCAACCACCAGGGCTTGGATTTCAATCAGTTCCTCTTCAGTGCAGTGGAATCCATGCAAAAGTTGATTCCTAGCACAGATTCTAACTGTGTTAAATAACCAGTATAAACCTTGTAATTGTGCCAGTAAATAACCAGTATAAACCTTGTAATTGTGTAGGACTGCTGTTCAGCTGCTAAACATGTTGTGCTTATGCAAGCAACTAAGACAGGAAAAGCTTGCAAAAAGTATCGGACATTTCCATTGATGTAAAAATCATTCATTAGCCATCTCCACTGCAAAAAGTATTGGACATCTCCATTGCTGTAAAAGTCATTCATTTATGCAGGGCAGAGGTCTATTTTTACTCAGTAAAAATAACTTACCTTAAGTTATTTTTATTGAATAAAAATAGACCTCTGCCCTGCATAAATGGAGGAAAATTGACCCTGAAGTTAGGAATTCGCCTAGGATCAAAAGATGTGTTGAATTCTCTGCCACAAGGTTTCAGTGTGGTTTTAGGCAAGTCACTGACTGATGACATCAGCAATTGCAGTAGGAAGGTGATCTGAGAAACTAAAATCCTATTAGTCTGACCTAAATAAGAACAGATATTGAAGGAAACGATCATTAAAGACATTGAGGTAAGGGAAAATGAGACACAATGTAACATGGGTACATCATACTACCTTGGTACATTTCATTTTTAAGATTACTGAATTTCTAAACAAGGTAGATACAGTAGATTTAATCTAGCTCAAGTTCAATAAAGCATTTAGGGGTTTGGTAACAGTTCAGTACTTATACTGTTTTTTCAGCATGATGATACCGATTATAATGTTGGGATTCATCATAATCTGTATCCTGACACTTAAAAGATTATCATGTGAGGTTAATATCTGAAAAGGCCTCTGTGTCATTGTTTTTCTTTTTTCCACTCTTTAGGGATTAGGAAGCATACCCTGTCCTCTCCTCTCATACTTGTTTAACTATTTGGGCACCAATTGTTTCCCTGACAAATTGTGCAAAACATCTTACTGTACTTGGTGTATTGCCACTGAAGGAATGATATACTTTTTACTTTACTTTTAAAAGATATGTGTATCTCTAGGAAAAGGCAGGAGGAAGAAATCCTCTAACCATTTTAGATTCATTTGACTTCAATCGCTTAAGACTACTCTGGTTCCTGGTAAATTTTCCTCTTGCTCTTTCTAAATTAACTTTTAAAGTGTAATTTTGCTGTATATTAAACTTGCATTTTTATACTATAGATTTGGAAAAATGTTTAAAATCTCCCCAATTAATCAAATTTAGTCTATGCTCCAGCTTCTTTGCAACAGTCTGGCAACATAAACCAGCAATAACTCTGATTTATCCAGTCAAGCCAAGTTTTATGGCTGCTGTTTGCATTACTGTCATGAAACAAAACTTCAGAGCATCCCTGTGAATCTGTTCTAGGACTGAGCAAAGTGCAATAGATCATTTTGCAGAGTATAATCCTGTTTTAGCAGCAGAGCACAAGACTTTTCCTTGCTCAATTACATGATTCTTTGATTTTTGGCATGCTCTTTGGTACTTGTTTCAGTTGTGGCAGACCATATAACCAGAGAGATTCTGGCGATGCGACGCTGGATCAAGGTGATGGAACAACAACACACAGTGTGAACAGAACAGGTAATTCTGACTCAAAATAGTTCTTCCTTCTAAAATATAAGAGATGTTGACAGAGTGTGTAGATGCTTCTGTCTCTCTTTATACAGAAAATGTATGTGTTTGAGACCACAAGAATGACTTTTATACTTCCTTTTTTATATCAATACCAGACCAAAGCCATTTCCTTAAGCCCCCGCTCTTTGCCAGGGACAGAAGTGGATGCCAAGGGGTGTCGGTTTCTTAATCAGTCTCTTTGGGTCCAGAGATCTTTAAATGAAAGGGGGCTTGGTAGAAACATACTACTTCCCCCCTCATGGATTCTTTGAGATTTCTGTGGAATCATTAATGTTACTTAAGTCATGAAAACCTAAGCCACTTTTGGCTCCTGACAGGCACAAGATACAGCAGGTTGGCACCGTAAACCAGGAAATCCCTTTTTAAGGGCAGTTTCCAGGCTTAGCAGTGCCCAGCTCCATTAAATCTTCATCAAGCAAGTGATTAATATATGGGAGGTGATGTCTGCAGCTATCCTGGGAGCCAGACAAAGCTGCCCTGTGCTCGTGACTGATTTCTCTGAGATCCAGTGTTCTGTTAGATACAAACCTCATTCCCCCTTTCCAAACCAAGCAATGTAGAGAAATCCTACAAGTTTAATTGCCTTGAATTTCACTGACACCTGACCACCTCCCCTGAATTGTTTTTGCTGAAGAGGATTATGTGACCATTGGTAATTACATACTAATTTATCATCCAGATAATATAACAAAAGCCTCACTAAGGCAATTGTGTATTGATCTCCATTCTGTATAAGACAACTAGAAACTGTACATTAGTTAGCATTTTATTTTCTGTGCTAACCCAATTCAAAGTGTAAATAATCCAGTAAGGCACAAACTATAGAAGTTGCTGTCCTGAATTTAATTTAATTCTGATGTTCTTCTGGCTGTGATAAAACAGGCTCTTAGAAATCATTAAATATGCATTTTAATCCAGAAAAAACATTTCTGGATTTGAATACAGTCTTTCATTTCAAATTTTTGCTAAAAGCGTCTAATATTTCTTTATATAATATAGCTAACATTCCTCCATGTAACTTACACCTCAAAATGTAACTTTTGGCTGAGGTTCTGGAAAGCAGAATGTGTATGGGTTTTCTATCTCCTCAGAAACGTAAAATCTGCCTCACAGTATGAGCCACATTAAGGGCTGAGTTTTGGTTCAGACGCATAGTATAATATATCTAGTAAAAATACACTATTTGTAGTACAAAGTACAAAACCAGGGTGATTTGAAAAAAAAATCTCTACAGTAACTCGGTTTAAAAGTGAAAAAAAAGTAAGTATTACATCTTTCTTCTTCTCCATCTGTCTTTCTTAACCTGGCCCATCCTAATAATGGTCCACTCTTCACTCTGGTTCCAGTTTCTCACCCTGCTGGGGTACATTTTTTAATGTCACTGGACAAAGCATCAGGATACATTTCAAACCTACTTAAACAGCATATGCATGGTTGAGTCAGAGATTCTGCTGGTGTGACTCAGAAGGTCACAGAGTACAATTCTTACTGTTCTCACAAGCAATGGGGGTTGTGATTATAGATGATCCAGCTCATGCCACCTCTGACTATGAAACCAACAACAGTGACAGCAGTGACATCGTACAAAACGACGATGAGACAGATTGCTCCAAAGAACAGATACAGAAGGGCTCTGTCTGCAGGACGTATGCACCTGAGTCCATCATATTGCACCCTTTATTGCCACCTGAGGTAGCTTATTTAAGTAATACTTGCATACTGTGTTAACATAAACCTAGAGATACTAAGAAAAGAATATAGCAGTCTAAAAGACTTGGCCAAGATCTTAATACATAATTGCATTAAATTAGGCTCTAGACTTCATACTTATGCATCTTCATAAGCAGTCTGATGTTCAAAAGCATGAATTAGCTATTGAAATTAGTGGAAGCTATTGAGTGTTCAGCGCTTTTGATAATGAAGCCACTTATTTTGATGCCTCAATATCAATTTTATACGCCTAACTTTAGTGCTAATTTTTGAAAATTTTGGCCCATGTGTTAATGTTATCTGTAAAGAAAATTTATTGTAAGGAATGGATATAATCTTGAGTGTACTGTTAATGCATTGTGTCTATGCTTAGCCATATCAAACTTTAAACAACCTGGGTAACCATATAACCTTGGTTAACATATGCATTTGCCAAAAGGTGCTATATGAAATTAGTTGTTGATTTCTTCTAAGTATGTGGATACCACTGCGTGGTAAATATTGACAGTTGTCTTCTAAAAACTGCTGTAATTGGTTGGTTTGGCTATAAATGAGAACAAGCAACACTTTGAATATCTGTTCAGATTTTCAGAGTCCCTTTATGCAATGCAAATAAAACAAAAATCCCATGAGACAGGGACTCTTTTTCCATTCCTTTTCATTTCAGTTGTCAGGTCAGGGTTGGACATACCAGGAGGAGAAAATTGAGGTAGTTTGGCATATTTGTTTTCCTGACCCATTACTTGAAAGTGAGGAGTGGAGAGAGAATGAAAATGAATAGATGGGGAAAGGGGGAGATAACTAGGGGGTGGTGGGGATAGGGGGGAAGAAAAGATGTGTTTTTTTTAGCATGTCTGCTTGAGTAGGGCAGGAAAAAGATGTATTATTGCTGCTGGCTTGTTTTTGTTGTTGTAACCATCATCAAAGTATGCTTTCTTACTCATATCTACATGCTGTAATTTTAGCTGGGAATTTGTTGCCTTAATCCTGTTAGTTTAGAACAGGTCATGAGGGAGAAGTAAAAAGTGAATTTTTTTTCCTGTGTTGATCTAAGTTTTACAAGAAAGGTAGGTAACCTTGATGTAGTTTTAACATTCAGTTCCTGATATTTCATTTTCAATATTCTCAATCAATTCTAGTTTTTAAAAAAATGTGAAGAAAGATGGCTAAAGTCAGGGTATAACTCTGTTGTGAGTTCAGTAAAGAAGCATTTGCTTGCACCAGTCAATTTGCACAAGTTAATTCGGCCTTAGATTTATAGACTCTTATTGTATTAGTTAGACTTTCCTTAAGTTTATTATCCACCATTTCTTCTGATTCTTGGTGCAGGACAAGCCTATACTTGCTCCAGAGCCTCTCGTTATGGACAACTTGGATCCCCTAATGGAGCAACTGAACAGTTGGAACTTCCCAATCTTTGATTTGGTGGAAAAAATAGGGAAGAAATGTGGTCGAATCCTCAGCCAGGTAAGAAGTGTGTTCCTTTTTATAGACAGATTGCATGTGCAGGCTCCTTATACTGTGTGTATATATAGAGACAGATACAGACAAAACTTGAGCTTTAACAATAGGGTGGGCCCATGGCCCTTGTAAGTCACTGAGCCTTAGGAATCATGAAATCCTTCCACACAACTCAAAAAGAATAGCTTGAACATGTTTCCATTAAAAGATAATTTTCTGTCCCCGTCACAACCTATTTTTTCAAAGTAAAGTAGGCATGTACATATTGGGTTGCTATATCTTCAGTGAGGATTTATGGGAATCTAACACTGTGGGCTTCCCAAATGCAGGAGTTACTGCCATCATTTTAAGATTGCTGCAAGTGACCCAGAAACTTTTCAGCATGGTTCTGTTTTATATTGCCATGCAAGAAAGTAAGGTTGATGGGGGGGAAGGGGGTATCCTGCTTCCTTTATGATACCTTACTTTTAAAAAGTCAGCACTTTGCCAGAAAAATTTTCTACCCCCATGTATTAAAAATCTGAAAGAAAGGAGGAGAACCTCCTAAGGTTTCTTTTCAACTGCCAACTTTTTATTTGCTGCCATAAGTAAAATAAGGTACTATGCAACTTTTATTTATGCAGTATGGCTGCCATCACTTCAACAACCACTTTCTTGGTTTGAATTTTTTTCTCTGTTGTTCACTTCTTGATGGCACAGAAGTTAATCAGCCACTTTTTCTGGTTAGAAGGACTATGGCTTATAAAAAAAGGAACATGAAATTTCTATTCAGGACAAATCCTCAAGAAGCAAATTGGGTTCTGCCTGATAGAGTATTCTTTTACAAGGCAACGTGTAGTGACGTGCAGGAGGCTACTGAGAGGCAGGGAACTTAACACACACGAATTAAAGAGGTTAATGTGCTATGCAGACCTCACTGTAACAAATGCTAATTAATGTTACATGAAATCTTGGCCCTTTGGTAGTTGATAATTATTAAGTGACAAGCAGATCATTCAAAAGACAACCAGCAAGCCTACAACTTGAATTCAGTAAGACATTTGGATTTATGCTGAGAGCTACCTTCTAGTCAGCAACTTCAGATTCTACTTTGCCATTTAACAAGCATGTGGATATTTCAGGTGTCTTCTAAGGCCAGAAGAACATTAGTGAGTATTTAGAAGTCCCTGCAATATGTCAGACATGAACATAGATTTGATTCTATTTTTTTGGCATTTTTGCAACAATGGTAGGAATTATATATAAAAATAAAGAACATACAGTGAAAACAAGAAATTACTAATTTATTAACTATGCCTAAAAAAGTTCTCTAGGGAAGGCCCAACAAATCAGTCCCCCCAAAATCTCTCTTGGTTATACATTTGTATTGCTATAGGGTGTTTTAGTAATTCTTAATATGGAATATATGGAATTAACTACATCCCATCAACTTTTTCCCCATCTGTCCCATTTCCCAGTCAGTCTGTCTCCCCAGCTGCCACTTTGTTTTATTCCCCCAGTTTCTGCCACAAATATTGAGTCACTTGGGCACAAGTACACATTTTTTAGATAACGCACTAAGGTGTTGCTGCATTACGCACTTCCTAAGCCATCTGATGAATAAATTGGAAAAAAAAAAAAAAGCCCACAGTCACCAGCTGCTGCCAGGCCAGGGGGGAGGTGATCCCCACTGCCCCCGTTACCCCACGCTGTGTGGGGGGGCTCTGTCACAATCCCCCTGACCCCTGCCCTCTCTCCCAGCCCCCCCCCTCCCCCATGGCTGCTCCTCCCACCCCAGCTCCTGGCTCTTAAAAAACAAACAAACAAATAAAAGCCTGAACTTACCAGCTCCTGCCAGGCAGGGGGGCAGCAGGGATCACAGCAGCCAGTGAGTGGGGGCATTTTTTTTAAACAACCAGGAGCTGGGGTGGGTGGGCATGCATGGGCAGGGCTGGAAGAGTGGACAGGGGTCGGGTGGTGCTCGGGGAGCTAAGGGAGCAGACAGGAGATGGGGCCTGGCAAGGGTCCTCCCATGGTACCCATCTCCTCCTTCAGTCCCCCCACCCCCGCCCCCTACTTGCCAGCATGGAGTACAGGTCCAGCTCCCTGCTGCAGCCAGTGGGGACTGCCCAAATCGCCAAAGCTTTACAAATATTTTCCAAATTGATTCAGAGAGCTTCGAATTGATTTGGGCCTTTTAATTTGTCCCCTAATTCGATTCGGATTTGGGGATTCAGCCACTGAATCGGGCCAAATCTCCTCCAAATCGAATCAGCACCTGAAGCTTCACACAGCCCTAATGATGATGGCCAAAGACCCAAAATGAAAGCTATAAAAAAATCTTTATTTGCAGTTTCATCATTCAATATTTTGGATGTCAATGATTTATATTAATGTAAATGGGTGACCCAAGACTGGGAGAAGTTCTAACATGAGATTAAAAGACAGAATTTTCTTAGGGAGATGGATTGAACAAAAGAAATCAAAAGCATTAGTGATTTATTCTCTGCTTTTCACCATTACATCTGCAATTCTTTCTCCTTTTTCAAAGATACAAAGGAAGGAAAATAAAAGTGGTGAATTAACTATGTATACCTCAATGTGAAATGAATTAAACAGAGCAAAGAGGACTTGACATGTGCCTCCAGGAGTGTGCCCAGTTTAGAAAGCAAATGCTGGCTTAGCATGTTTAAAACTGCTTGAGATGTCTGTTTCTTATTTTTGTAATGTTAAATTGATTTAGACATTATATAAAAAAGACCCCACACAACTGCAGCCATAAAAATCATTCTTGCTAAGTACAGTGAAAAACACTTTAATACACTGCTGGCAAATCTCTAACAGGGTGATAGAAAGACATTCAGAGAAAAATCTTGCTTGAGAATGGAACAGCAGAGCTCTCAAATTGAGACTGCTGCTTCACAACCAGCTACAAGGCTAGCTAGCATCTTAATTTGCACTTTCATCTCCTTTAATAGCCTCACCTGTAGGAGCTTGAAAAGAAAAACATAGCTTGAACTGGCACTGTCTCCCTATCTACTGTTATTAAACCTGAAATTAATTAAAATTGTGGGACTCATGGCTAGGACTCAGATTCTAGGAAAATCTGGAGTGTCGAGACTGAGAGAACCTGTATTTCTGTAAGCATGAATAGGCCCCTGGGAAGTCCTTCACAGCCAGCTTAAAAAGTATTTCCCATCCCATCATCATCACCAGTATAAATCTGTGCAAAGACAATATAAAAAAAGAAAGTATGGGAAGTCTCCACCTAAGGTCTGCTGTTGGTCAAATGATGCCTTTTTATAAGTCATCCAGAATATAAACTTTGAGGTCCAAAGTCAAGGTATGTTTGGTGGCAATCTCTAATCTCTGGAATTCATGATGGCCAGAAATTCAACTAACTTGAGCATGACCATGTGCAGAAAGTGCTGTAGCAGCTGCTTGGTTGGCCAGACCTTTCTGTAAGTGTTTGCTCAGTTTCTCATATCTTCTGCTATAACTAGCATTCTCATCTCTCACTTATTTGTTTTAATATTATCTTGGGAGCTTAGACTTCAGGGTTCCTATACATGAAAAGTGGGGTTTTCATCTCTACCTAACAAAGGGCTGTGCCGCTTCTGAATAGCAAGAGGCCACAGAGTTGCACACCACGTGAGCTGCATGACCACTGGTTGCATGTTGCACTAGTACCCCCATGCTGAGCATCACCAGTGATCCTGGGTCCCTTGGAGCCCTGCAGGCTGCTCCACACTGCCCCCAGGGGCGGGCATAAGAAGCAAATGCTGGAGTAGGGATGGGAGCTCAGCACCAGCAGCCAGAGAGTAAACAGCACACAGACTGGGCACCCCAGGGCCACAGGTTAATTCCTTGGGGGTGCTAAACTGCTAGCAAGCCACCATTGAGCAGCCCTGATGCAACCCATACACGTTTACTCAGTTACTACTCTGACGGTCACTGTTAATATACCTGCAATATGCAGTGCCCAGAAGATGGACCACATGTGAATGAGTCTCCTTTTGAAAAGAATTTCCATTAAAACTATGTTCAGGGGAAGCATTTATTCTTGTTTGAATAGCTCTGCCAGAAGCATTTGATTTATTAATGAAGTATTTAAGCATTTCTTTCTGCATAAAAAAGAACAACAAAAAGCAGTGGAAAGGGGAGAGGGAAGCAACACTGTTTGCCAAATAAATGGCAACTTGGAATTATTTTTAGTTTGCTCCTAAGAATAAGAAATGAAATAAGCTTGATTAAATTGTAGCACACAAAACTGTTTCTAACGAGGCCATCAAAAACAAGAGAGCAATGATGATGGTAGGGTGCAATCCATAACCAAGTTACACATATCTGAACAGAACTCCTTGTTGATGATCTTCTCCAGCCCCAAACACAGGCAAAAGATACAAAGCTGACAGAATTTATTTTTTAGTAAGTAAGGAAATGACTGGCCATCAGGTAATGCATACTTCTGAAACATGGTGACACTTGGCATAGAAGGAAATCTTTTGAAAAAAGAAAGTCAAAGGTAACTAACACCCATACTAGCTCTAGTTCTCCTGCCAAAGCCTCCTGCTCAGCTGACCTCCAAGAAAGCATAATTTCCAGGAAAGAAATAAACAATAGGTCTCTTTTGCTCCTCTCTTATTGCAATAATCAAATGCCTTGCTTGGACATTTATCCTTCCTGACAATTAAAAGAACAGACCGTTTTTCTCTAAATCCAATACTGGGAAATGGACACTATTCACTTCCATCCTTTGCCAGTTTGAATTATTTTGAAAGCTTCTACTCAAGCCCTTTTCAGTGCTGGAAATTCAGAGTTAAAATATAACTTGACCCGTATTAGCTGTATGAAACCATAAGAGTCATTTCTGCAGATAAATATTGCTCTACTGTTCCTTTTTTTACCAAGGGACATCTGTCAGGAAAATGAATTGCAGTTCATTAAGTAGTGGCTCATAGTGTTTTTACCTTCTTGTTGTATTTTCATCTCACCTTCCATGGTTCAGTGATCTATTACTAAGATTT